TTATAGTCAGAAGTCTCGAGTTCAATGGATTACAAAGGGAGATGCAAATACATGATTCTTTCATGGTATGGTCAAAGCCATGAATCATTGACAAACTATCCAGAAGCTGATAACTGACATTGGTGAAGTAATTAATGAGGTAAAGGGGATGGGAAAAATGGTTGTAGAATTTTATAAAGGTCTCCTGGGAGCTGCTGACCCTAATGTTCAAGATTCCTCTACTAGGTTTTTTGAGGGGTTGTTAAGAAATAAACTAACTAAGGAGGAAGCTGCAATTGTGACATTGCCTGTTACTCAAGAAGAAATTATGGAATTATTTTTTTGTAGTATGGGCATTGATAAAGCATCGAGGCCAGATGGCTATATAGCTGAATTCTTCAAATTGATTGAGATGTGGTTAGAAGGGAAGTGGAGAACACTGTGCTTGACTTCTTTAGCACTGAGATTATGCTTAGACAGGTGAATTCAACGATAATCTCAATTATTCCTAAGCTCCTTATTGTTGAACGGATGAAAGACTTTTGCCCTATATCATGCTGCAATGTGGTTTATAAAGATATCTCTAAACTGCTCTCGAATAGATTATCACTGGTTTTGCCTAATCTAATAGGAAGAAGTCAATATGCTTTTGTGAGGGGAAGGTTAATTAGTGATAATATACTAATGGCCACTGAATTAGTAAATGACTATCATAGGGTCAGAATATCTCCTAGATGTGCTCTTAAACTTGACCTAATGAAGGCCTTTGATTCAGTTGATTGGACATTCTTATTTAAGGTCATGTGTGCCATGGGTTTACATTCCAGTTTTGTGAAGTTGATTCAAGCTTGTGTGACATCTCCCATGCTAAGTGTCTCGTTTAATGGAGGATTGTGTGGATACTTTCCATGAGCAAAGGGTTTGAGACAGGGGGACCCATTATCCCCGAATTTGTTCACAATTACTATGGAGGTTTTCTCATGTCTTCTACTTAGAGCCATTGAATCCCATGAAATACCATTCCATCCCAGATATAAAAGCTTAGAGATAACCCATCTTTGCTTTGCAGACGATTTATTAGTTTTTTCTAATGGATCTTCTCAAGCAATTGTGGGTATAAAGACGGTGCTTGATAGGTTTTATAAAGTTTCAGGTCTTAAGTGTAACCCCGAGAAGTGCCAGTTGTTTTGTGTTGGAATCGAAAAAGAAGAACAACAAGCCCTCTTTACTCATTTTGTGTTTCCTCTTGTAGAGTTAGCTGTTAGATATTTAGGAGTGCCATTATTATCAGGTAAACTAACTTCCTTAGACTGTTCGTGTCTAGTAGACAATATCACAAAACATATAACAATGTGGCAGGCTAGATCTCTGAGTTATGCAGGAAAGCTTCAATTGATTGACTCTGTTATCACGAGTGTTTTCCAATATTGGATGTCAGTGTTCTTGCTTCCAGTGAAGGTGAGTGGCGACAAAACTACAAGTGCACAGTGTCGTACGGGTAATAAAGTGTAAGTAAAATTATCGTTCTTTAGGGGATTGGTGAAATTCAATAATTAACAAATTTAGTTCAAGAAACTATAGAAATTGCAAAGGTTCTAATCAAGTGATGAGTGGCAGAATTACTGAAATTAACAAACTTGTAAAATGAAATATTTTGGATAAATTAACTTTATAGAGTTCCGGGAGAAACACAAATTTTTTACTATTTACCTTGATAAATTTAATTGTCCTTGTCAATTTAATCCATATTTCTACAGTCGGGATACCTCTAAATTGATAGCTATCTCTATCTAGAATTACCACATACTAACTAATTAAGACAATTTCTACTATCTTAGTTAACTGCATTAATTAATTATACTTAAGAACGATATCCCTAAAATGACTACATAATTCCCTATTTAATCCACTAACGCTTCGATGGAAAATTATGTAGTGTGAAATGCGTTCCATTACTAGGTTTTCACTATTGTTATTAACCTAGAAAACTACAAATCATTGTGAGGGTGGCCAATTAACACAAAACGTTATACAAATTCGCACGATAGAAAATGAAGGAAAAACAAGTTGTGATTAAAACATCGAGGCTAGATAATGAAATCCCAAAGTTTTCCCCATAAATTAGGGGATTAGTTCATGATGAAAAGAAAGAACATAAACATGCTAATGTTCGATATCATAACTAATTACATAAATAAAGGAGTAGTAGAAAGTACAAAGTGTTGAAGTTAATCCCCAACTTACAAGAGTCTTCCTTTCTTCAAAATGCTTCACTCCAAAGTGTGCCAAAGTGAGCTCTCTCTTTTGATTTATTTTTCTAAAACTTGTCTCCAAAAGTGTCTACTAAGCTCCCCTCTTGTTGTATTTTTCTACTCCTTTTAAGTCCAATTTATGCAGATTTTCCATCCACAAAAGAAGGCACTTTCAGCTCGCATTTCCAAGGGAAGGTTCTGCCAGTTTAAGTCTCTTTCTTTGCAATAAATTTTTGCATCACTTTATCTATTGGTGAGCCCTAAATCCATTTGCTCACTTTAAAAAATCTTATCCAATTCCAATAATTTCTTAGGGCTATTGACAGTTGAGTGAAGATTCCAACCCACAATAATTCGATTTGGGTTTTCACCAGTTTGGCCTCCTGCTGGACGTTTGCCTCTGCACATCTGCTCTTTGCCACTGCACCTGCATTTGTCCACTGCACTTCGTTTTGTTCACAATCTTAGCTTCAATTTGTATTAAATTGCTAAATGTCTTGGTAATGACACTAGTGCCATTCCATGGTCAATATGAACTAATTTAGAGCAATTTAAACACATACAGACTTAAAGATCAATCATTTATGCACAACAAACATGTATGTTTATGAAGCTTATCAAAGGTTCTTAATATGATAGAGGATGTTTGTTATAAATTCTTGTGGGTTCTGGATCGTGACAATTGGAATAAAGTGTCAGTAGCTTGGTATGGTCGCAAGTTGCTCTTCCGAGACAAGAAGGAGGTTTGGGTATAAGGGATTTTAAGAACTGAAATAAAGCCTGTGTTATCAAGCATTTGTGGAATCTGTTAGCTTCAACTGGGTCTCTGTGGGTTGCATGGATGAATAGATACAAAGTTAAAGGAAGGAGTACATGGGTTTGGCGGAAGATCATAAAATGCAGAAGCAAAGCTCGGCAGCATATCACAGGTTCAGAGGATACATTGGCTTGGGATGGGAGGGTGATTGCTTAATACTTAGTTAAGATGGTTTGGGAGTCAATCAGGGAGCCTTCTCCAATTTTTTCATGACATCGCGTTATTTGGGATAAGCCAATTTATCCTAAACATAGTGTGAATTTGTGGTTAATCAATTTAGGGAGGTTCAGAACAAATGATAAGTTGGCAGGTTGGGGGATTTCTTGCAATCATTGTTGTGTGCTTTGTCCAGAGGGAGTCGGGAGCAGAGATCATTTGTTCAGTGGTTGCTCACTTGCTCGTTTGGACATATAGTTATGCAGAAAGTGTTAAGAGATGTGTGTGTGATTCCTTAATTTGCAGATTGTCAATCTCAGTTGCAGTGGGCTGAACTGTTGTGGGGGAAGTCGAATGATGAGGTTGCTGTAGGGAGGCTTTTGGACAATGGGGATCAGCTGCTTTTGGCAGGAGCGGAATTCATGGGCGGGGACTCGAGAGCTGCCTCCACTGATCAAGTCTCGCTGAAGATTTTGAAAGATTTTGAAACTTTTGCTAGTAGCAATAAACCTTTCCAGCTGATAGTATTAAGGGTTTTAGGGAATAGCTCTTAGTTATACATATCTTTCTGTTTTCTTTAGAGAAACGATGATTGTAAAACCATGGTGGAAACTTTGGGAGAGAGTTTTGCGAGTTGCAACCCCGAACTTCAATACAATTTTTCATTAATCATGATAAAAAAGGATTCCGTTTGCCTTTTCCTGTTATATATATATATATTTTGTTAAGGGTGATATAAATTAAGATAAATCCAGCAGTTACAGCAAAAAGAAACCAGGCAGAAACAGAAACCAGCCTTTTCCTGTTATTTTTTACCAATAGCTTTTTCTCTTTTGGTTAGCTAAAAGGGAGAAACGACTTTAAAAATTATGAAAAAGTAAGGAAAATCCACCAGCAATAATCATCCATGTGGCTGGTTGGAGGAACCAGCTCTAACCTAGGTTGGACATAATAATTTTTTTTTTAATTTGAAAAATAGAGTAGGTAGTAAGGATTTAGCACCTTTCCGATTCAAATTCATTGAATGTAAACATATTAGCTTCTCTCCTACAGATTTGTGAGTCCGCAACTGAGTGATGAGAATGCGTGATAAAATTAGTTGACTACGTAAATAAAAAGGGTATGTACACCGTACATGAGTACAAGATGATCTGCATCAATAATTGATAAACTTGGATGAAAAAGTAGAATATATGTTGGTAAAAATTTGATGCATGCACATTGCACGCATCCGATGGGCCTTAGGCCGAATATGGGCTTAACATGAGCTTAGTAGTTAGGGAATTATTATTCGTTAAGTGTCATATTATTATGGTTATTTACTATATTCGTATTAGTTAATTGGGACTTGTTGAGGAAGTTAGTATTTACTTGTTGGGATAGGATTAGTTTACTTTGTTTGGGAGGGAAAGGGTCTGTGAGATAGTCCATAAATAGGGTAAATTGCAAGGTTGGTCACCGAGATTACTAAAAACATTCATGATTGGTCACTGAAAATATTTAATTCCATTTATGGTCACTAGTTTTAGTAAAATCATCCAAATTTGGTCACTCTCCGTCAAACTCCGTTAATTATGTCTGATGTGACAGTCAATACTCAAAGTTGACCGTTAAATGTATGTCGTGGCAATTAAAAAAAATTAATTTAATTTAAAGTAACCACCTCATTATCACTACTATTAAAATAAAAAATAAAAAATAAATTCTAATTCACTAAACCTCACTAATATTTGTTCCACATCACTCACAACACCGCCGCCTCCGTCGCTCCTTCTCCGCCGCATGGGTCCACAGTCCTAGCCTCTTTCTTCCGCTACTCCTCTCTCGTCCTCTGCCTTCGTCCCAGCCTCTACTCCCTCTTCTGCCGGCTCACAACACCCGACGTTCTCTACCTTCTCCCCTACCTTCACCACCACTAGTCCAAGAATCCCTAAACTATTTCTTCTTCCTTCTTTCCCATACAAGAATCCCCTTCTCCCTCCTTGTGTTTTCTGCCTCTCCCCTGCATTCACCACCGCCAGGTCACCACCAACTTCGCCTCCCACATCCCTTCGTTCCCTTTCTCCTCCTTCATTCATCCTACAACTTCGAGGGACGCAAATTCGGGTTCTAATTTGAGTATAAATCGAGAGATGGAGAGAGGGAATCAAGCGACTTCAGCCTCAAACATCGGTGGATCTAGGGCTGGGCCTACCCGGGCCACGGCCCAGCCATCAACCGGATCTAGAGCTAGTATAGAGCTTATAATTTTTTTGATTTAGGTATTCGGCCCAGTATTATTTAATGGTCGGTCGAGTGTTATTTGATAATAATTTTGTGTAGTTAGAAAAATGGTATAGATGAAAATATGCAAATCATTACTCTCAATTTAGTTTACGAATTCTAGCCCGAATGATTTTCATTTGAAAAAAAAAACAACAAAACCTAAAAGTCTAAAATGTATAAAGTTTCATTAAAATAAGAAAACCCTCTAAACAAATTGATTTGTGGGTTGATTCGTCTAGTGTTGACCTTGCCAGTTTCAGCGGCTACCATGAGAGAACAAGCAATGAAATATGTGAAAACTAATTTTGAGTAAATACAATTTATTAGTTAAACCTTTTAGACTTTCCAAATTATTAGCCAAAACCTTTCGAAATACAAAACATTAGTCATTTGTCTGTTATCGTTGGTAATCTTGTAACTATTTTTGTATTTGAAATATTAAAATTTAAAAATATTGACTATTTTTATTTACGGTATATAATATTATATTGAAATGCGGCCCAGTGCCCTACTGTATTTTGGATCCGCCGCTGGCCTCAAACTGTTTCTCCATCGGCCTCACGGCTTCGACCACCTTCTTCCCAATCATGCTGCTCCGGATTAAGCTCACTGCAAAAGATGGATCCGGCGAAGGATAAATCGAGCCGGATATCGAGCGACGGATACATGGGCCTGGACACCCCTAAAATTTGGCGAAACGATTATCCAACCTCCGGTAGTAGTTTCGTATAGGTATACTAAATATAATTGGTAATCCGGGACACCCTAACATTTGAAAAAATGATTATCCTACCCTCGATAATAGTTTGCTTATGATAAACAAAATATAAGTGGTAGTCCGTGTTATTCCAACCAAGGACACTACTATTATCAAACATATTCTAATTATGTTGCTACTCATTTGTTATTCTATTTTAAATATAATGCAACAGTAAAACGCTTTTTCTTTATCCCCAACTATTTTCAATACCTAATAATTAAACTACGTACACGCTACCCTTAATTTTGAATTGATTTTATGGTTACACGGCAAGTGTTGAAAGAGTCTTTTCTACTTTGAGCTACATTAAGAACAATGTTAGAAATAGAATATGTGATAAGTTCGTGAAGTATTGTCTAGTAGGATATGTAGATTTTTTTTGAACAGTGCAGACACGGAGTTTATTTATATTATTTTTTCAAAATATGAATTTTAATTTATTATTTAATAAAAAATTTATACAAATTATATAAGTATGATATTTTTAATATACAAATTATTTAATTTATTAATAATTAAATTTAATTTTTGAAGAGGACACCCCTGTGAAAATTTTCTGAATCCGCCACTGCCCGTACCCACACCGAGGGTTCGGCGGCCAGGGTTCAAGCCTGGGAAGCAGCGCGGACGGCCCACGAGGCTCACATCCCATTTCACCTACGTACCTTTGTCGACCAGGGCTAGATCCGTTCCAATAATGGTGGAGAAGAAGCACTACAAGATCTCCGTTAACATCAACGAACGGTGGTGTGAATACTTGATGATTCTTATAGCAGATGCAACCGGGATACCGAGGAGTCGACACAGGTCTATGACGTGCTCGTTGGTCAGCTACAAGGCTTGCGAGATGTACCGGAGACGCCGCCACGTTGCCAAGATCGGTTTCAAGTTGGGGTGGACAAGTTGGAGAGCGAACTTCGTTCCCTCGTGAAAGATCAACTTCGTTCCCTCCTCCCCCGCCGGTGCTAGGTCTCCCGTCTCCGAGACCCCTCCTTCTCCCTGCCCCGCCAGCGCCTTGTCAATCTCCCCCGGCGACCCCCGCCGGCGCCAGCCGCCAGGCAACCATTCTTCTCCCTCCCCCGCCAACTGACATATATTATGTAAGTTTATTATGTAAGATAATTAGAATTTAGAATCTTAGAATGATGATTTAGAGTTTTAATGATTGATTATGAATGATTGATGATGATTTTGAATGATTAATGATGATGATTGGTGAATGGTGATGATGATGAACCACCACAGAAATGGGATGTTGATATTCTTATAAGTTATAAAGGTTTAGTGATGATGAATGATGATTTTGATTGATGAATGATGATGATTGATGATTTTAATGATGCTTGTTAGTTGTTACTTGTTAGAATTTGTGTAAATTTATTTGAATTTTTAAATTTCAGTAACTGTTGTTGTAGGGCGAGACCTCCGGCTCCGCGTGGTGGATGTGGCGGACGAGGTGCACCTTCCGCTGAGACTTCTTCTCGTGGTGGGAGACCTCCGGCTCCTCGAGGTCGTGGTGGTGCGGGTGCCTCAGCCCCTCCTGCTCAGAATCGGGGTCGTGGTGGACGTACAGGGAGTCGGCCTGTTCAGTCTGCTGAACCGCCGGCATCGGCATCAATTGCATCAACTCTCGCCCATGCCGGTAGTGAAAGTACACCTGCTGCTGAGACTCCTTTAGTAGACACGGTTAATCTGGCTTCAAATAAAGTTAAAGACGATCCCTTCAATCTAGAGAAATGGTTGGAGACAAAGGGTACAACTGATTGCTAGAAGGATTTCACAAAGGTGGCGGTGGATGAGTATCAGATGGGAGAGTGCAGGCACTGTCATACTAAAATCAAAGCACAACCATCCAAGAATGGCACTTCTGCAATGAATAACCATAAGAAATCATGTTTGTCTAAGGTTGCAGCATCCAGGGATCAGAATGTTGTGAATTTGCAGGCCGCAAATGGTAGTCAAAGTCAAGTAAGTGCTTTATGGAAGTTTGATCAAGAAAAACCTAGATATGCCTTAGCCATGATGATTATTATGGATGAGTTGTCTTTTCACTTTCTGGAAAGAGAAGGGTTTAAGCAGTTTATGCAAGTTGTGCAGCCACTGTTTAAGATACCTCGGAGGAGAGGTATAAGAGATGATTGCTTTCATAAATTCTTGGAGAGAAAAAATGCATGTGATAGGTTATTTTGAATCAAAGAGCAAAGGTAGAGTTTCAATCACCACACATACATGGACATCTGAAAACAACAAAAATTACATGTGTGTGACTGCTCACATTGTTGGAGTTGATTGGAAGTTGCAGAAAAAGGTTCTCTCCTTTGTTCACATCACAAGTCATACATGAAATGATATTGCAGAGAAGATTGCAGAAATTCTTGAAGAATGGAAGGTGAAGAATCTGTTCTGCATTACCATGGGCAATACGTCTACCAATGATATTGCGAGTGATTGCATGAGAACGAAATTAAATGAGTGGGGGTGTGGATTTGATGGATGGGAAGTATCTGCAGTTTCGCTGTGTTGCACACATCATTAATCTGGTGGTGCAGGATGGATTGAAAGTGATCGGAGGAGCTGTGGATGGAGTTCGGGACTGTATGAAGTGGGTGAGGTCATCACCAGCTAGGTTGACAAGGTTCAAGACTGCCATGCAAGTTTTTGGAGTTGGAGTCAACCAAATTGGTGTGTTTGGATGTACCGACCAGGTGGAACTCCACATATATCATGTTAGAAGCAGCAGAAAGGTTTGGTGGAGTGTTTACAACTTTGTATTCAAGTATACACGATCATTACTTCAGGGATTAAGTTGACGCAAGAGGTGGTCTTCCAACTGAACAAGATTGGCACCTGATTTGGAAGTTGATGAAGTATCTGAAAGTCTTTAATGACTTTACCCTCCTAGTCTCGGGTAAGTGGAATTTTAATGGCATTGTTTTATTTTAATTTGATCATTTTTCAATTTTGGTTTGTTTAAGTCTAATTTCCTGTATTCTATTCTCATTGTACATGAACTAAATATGTAACTACCCATCTTTTCTTCAAGAAACTTGTTCCAGTTTATGACATCATTGAGGAATCGAAGAATGATCTGCATGAAGAGCTTTAAAAGATGGCTGAAAAGGTTGAAGAAAAGGTACATAAGTATTGGTTTGAGACACCTGTCATGAATGAGGAGAATATGAAGGTGAATCACTTAATTTATATAGCATGTGTGCTTGATCCTAGAAGTAAACTTGATCTGATGTCTGAAGTGTTGGAAATGATTTATGGACGTATCAAAGGAGGAGAAATTCAGAGTTCTATTAAAAGGGAGATGCGCCAGATGTTTGAGGTTTATAAGAGGAAGTATGGATCAGAGTCTGCATCTCAGCCTACCACTGATGATAACATTGCTGATGGTGGTTCTGGTGAAGGTGTTGGTGATCGAATTGAGAAGTTGGAGGAGAGGGTTAGAAAGAGAAAAAGGGAAGCACTTCTGCTGGAAACAGGAGGTAGCATCTAATGTCAAACTGATGGCATTAATGAAGAGAGGGATGATACAAAGTTTGACATATTGGATTGGTGGTCTCGACACTCTGGAATATATCTGATTCTTGCTGAGATGGCTAAGGATTTCCTAGCTGTTCCCATCTCTTATGTTGCCTCAGAGGCAACATTCAGCTGTGGCGGGCGAATTCTCAGTCCATTCAGGTCCACTTTGAGCGGCCTAATGGTGGAGGCATTGATTTGTGCTGAGGATTGGATAAGGTATCCCGGATCCAGGGAGATTGACGATAAGGAAGATGATGAAGAGAATTTGACTTTGGAAAGTAGTGAGTTCTGAAACTCTCTTATTGTTCAATTTTGCATTCTTTCCACCTAATTCAATATATGAATGTCTAACACTTTGTTTTCCTTTTTTTTTACTCATTTAATGCCACTTTCCAAAATAGAATGGAAAGTGCAAGGAATACTGGCAATGCAGATGTAAGCCTCAACATTCCAGTGGAGAATGAGCAGGAGAGTGAAGAAGAAGTACCGGAGGAAGAGTATGAGAAAGATGGATATGACGATTATATATGGTCATGACTTGTTGCCCTAATTGAACGAACAGGGTTATGCAGATGTTGGTTCTTCTAAGGCTGGTGATAAGTGATGATAGTTGATGATGTGCTGTTGATTTGTTGCTATCTGGAGGATCTACTATGATTTGTGGAGTTTATGTTGTTGAATTAATGAAAGTGAGACATTAAGTTGCTAATTTAGATGTATTTTCTATGTAAAAGGAATTGAAATGTAGGTTTGAGATTTTAATTTTAGGTGATTTTTGTTTTTTTTCCTTCCTGGTCGGTCAGTACTGGTCGATTACCGGTTGGTTAGGTGGTACCAACCGAACCGACCTTCAATTTTTGGTTGTCGCGATTAAACCGCACCAAAACCGAAAACTGGCCGGTCGGTCTGCGGCTAGCCGAGGCTGGAGGGGCGGTCGGTTGGCGGAAGCGATTGGTCGTGTCTCGGTTTAATCGATAACCGAGATTTCGGTTTTCGGTTAAACCGAAACCGACTGCCAGCCCTAGTTGGAATCTTTTCCATTTCATGTACGTGAAGATGGAAGTGGATGGAGCTAGCGCTAGACGATTTGTTCAAGTCCCGGAGCGCAATTGGAAATTTCGTAAGAGGGATTGGAATCGAAGATCACTCACTCTCTTTGCTACCATCAACACGTGGGAAAGATTCTTCTTCATTGATTCGGGTTGAGATGACGTTTTTCAAAGGGGGGAGGATTGATGCATGCACACATCCAATGGGCCTTAGGCCGAATATGGGCTTAGTAATTAGGAAATTATTATTCGTTAATTGTCATATTATTATGGTTGTTTAGGATATTCGTATTAGTTTATTGGGACTTGTTGAGGAAGTTAGTGTTTACTTGTTGGGATAGGATTAGTTTACCTTGTTTGAGAGGGAAAGGGTTTGTGTGATAGTCCTATAAATATGTACTTTCGTTCTACGTTTTAAAACAATGAATAAGAGTAAAGTAAATTAGAGTAATTTAATTATTTTTATCACGTTTCATTAATTTCGTAGAAGAGTTCGAGTTCCACGATACGTGAGATTCCGCTATCATACATCAATATTGTATCGCTATATACTCTTTTTTTTTTGTTTTTTTTTTCCGAATCACACAAGTAGTTCTGCTAACAAACACCACCTTCCTTCCAATTATAGATGATATGCGTACGCAACAGCAAATGTTGACTGCTGCAAGCTGTTTTACTCCAATAAATCCAAATAACCGAATTATTAATGAATTATTATATGCGAAGATATCAAGTCCTGAACACTCTTTGATGTTGTATATAAGCAGCTACCTACTACCAGCTGTTTTCAGCATCCACATATATCCACCACTTAAAGTACTGGAAGAACAGCCATCCAATCCATGGCGATGATCATGCCCAGCATTACTAAGCTGGCCATTTTGCTGCCCTTCATCTCATGGGTCATCCTAATTCCATGTACTGTACTTCCCCCATCGTCTCTTTTCACTTCTTTCTTCTTCATTCTTGTACTGTACTCGCTTACAGTATTCATGATTTGCCTGACTCGTATCCATGCAGGCCTTCTTCCTTGGAGCGAATCGGCGAGAACGATTGCTCCCAAGTCGGGGATGGCTCCCAACAGTTCTAGCAGCACAGATCTCAGGTATGAAACCCAATAATATATATCCCAGCAGCCGCCGCTCCACCTTCTTCATTTTAGGGTTGTTGATCCAATATTGTCGTGCGCGCGACCATTACCCTCTTCTCAAAAGTCTCAACATTTTGCAGGAACCACCATTTGCACGGTGGGACTCATAGTACAACTTCCGGCAATGCTTCCGTTGAGACAGACTGTTCTGCTGGTTGCACCTACAAAGACTGCCGTTCCAAGTACCTTAATAGGTGTCCTGACTTGTACTACTTGGATTGCAACTGTGATAAAAATGATTGCTGGTGCTACTACGGTAATTATTAGAGCCGTTTTCCCTGCTTCCTAAGAAATAGATAACGCCAGTAACAGCAAGCTTGTGGGGGAAGCTAGGGTTTATCAGCTTTTTAATTATAATAATACCCATCTTATCAAATCAAAGTGGTTCTAATATAAACATGTGTTGTACTCTTTGGTGTACTCACTTTTAAAGGCCTTACTTTATCGTTGTTGTTGTTATTTTTCACATCTGATTCTTCTCAAACTGATTATAATCGTTAATTGTATTTTGAATTATATATAATTATATAAAAATTCAAGTACACAACCCAACAAATTCATCTACTTAGTGATTATTATTGGGTAAGTAGTTGAATAAAAAAGAAGGCCAAAGGCTGGATGAAGAATGGACCAGAAGAGGGGCAGATCACATGATTTTATATTAGATTTTTTCTCGAACTCTATAATTAGGAGAGCTCATTCTCAAAATTTTCAATAAAATAAATACAAACGAAACATTTCCAAAAGAAATTCAAATGAAATGCCCTAAACACTTGGGCGACTTTAATCCATAGTCAATAAAACTTAACTTCTAAACCTCCAGTTATACTCATAATCATGAAACATAAATAACTAAACATTTCTTGACTCCTTACTAAGCTCCCTGATATCTCGTCAATGCTGGTGCGGCTGCTGACACGTCACGCCTTCCCTCGATTACTCGTCCGCTAACACTTCCTCTAGATACCTGGTGAGTGAGAAGGGGTCAGTCTCGTCGTTACTACAACCTAAGGTCCTTTCCTTAAGCGCATTTCCTAACAATTAACATTATTAGAATTTCTCCTCTTACATGAAAGTCGTTCTCGTTTTCGCCCGCATTAAGTTTCGTCGTCCGGTGTCCCTACTGCAAAAGGAATGGTATTGCGTTACGTCTCGCCGTCCAGCACGAAGATATTGTCCACTTTGGGCCTCGACCCTCACGGTTTCCGACTTGGGGTGCAATTCAAGGTGACTTCACATAAGGTCACCCACCCTTGTTGTACTCCACACTGAGCACGTTTAACTTCGGAGTTCTCACAAGAACTCCTCCATTACACCCCAAAACGTGTCTTGTCAATTAAGGTCGGTTTCTTACTTATGAACCATGGATCTCTCCCGTGCTTTGTCGATGTGGGATTTGCCTAAGGTGTTACATACACCCCCCCCCCCCTTGGGACTCAACGCCCTTGTTGAGGTTTGCCCCACCATCGTTCAAGAGGGACGCGGAGAGGCTCTGATACCACTTGTAACATCCCGAACCTTTTCCCGACAAATATATTGTCCGCTTTGAGCCTCGACCCTCACGGTTTTTGACTTGGGGTGCAATTCACGGTGACTTCCCATAAGGTCACCCATCCTTATTTTACTCCACACTGAGCACGTTTAACTTCGGAGTTCTCACAAGAACTCCTCCATTACACCCCAAAACGCGTCTTGTCAGTTAAGATCGGTTTCTTACTTATGAACCATGGATCTCTCCCGTGCTTTGTCAATGTGGGATTTGCCTAAGGTGTTACAGCCGAGGTGCGGTTTTGGCCTGACCTAGCAAAACCGCACCTTGGAGATGCGGTTTGTTTCTCCAAAACAAAACTGCATCCCCAAGGTGCGGTTTTGCCACACAAACCGCACCCCCAAGGTGCGGTTTTGGTCAATTATTGTCCGACATGCCATGCAAAATAACAGACATGGGTTGTGAATTGTTGATTGAACGAATTGGGAAAATATCAAGTTAACACGAAAAAAATGGACAAAGCCAATTACAAGTTAAACAAATTGGAATAATATCAAGATAAGAGGAATAGTTCCAAGTACATAGAAATAAAAACAAATTCAAACAATACTCAATTAAATAAACTAAGATAAGGGAATAGTTCCAAATACATATAATTAAAAAATTCAACTCAAAATACATCTCAAGGAAGTCCATGAGCTTCACCGAAACCAACGGTTTTCTTGCTCCTTGTACGACGGCCGACGGGAGTAACAACAGGTGGTTGCGGTGGCAAGTTTCGAATGGCCGAGGTAGTGTGGCGCTCGTCGGTGCTATGTAGGAGGGGAGGCGGCGCTTCCGGGGTCCAGCAGGGGACATCCGCGCTCATACAGTGAGGAGTAGGAGGCCACGGCTGATGAGGGCGAGTCAATGGGTTGAATTCGTGGGGCGCCGTCGTGGAGTAACCATCATGCCAAGTACCCTATGATGTAGGGGGATCTTGGGGGTAGACCGGGTGGGAATCGTAGTATGTTTGGCGGGGAGATGGGGGGTAGACCGGGCGGGAATCGTATGATGGTTGGCGGGGATCGTTGTATGAGATCGGGTTGGGATCATATGGGGATTGATGGAGACTCGGAGGGGATTGATGGTAGGTCGAGCGGGGATCGTAGTATGAGCTTGGGTGGAGATCGTTGTGGTAGGAGGGGCGGTGCTCTTGGGATGAACACGGGCGGGGATCTTGGACGGAACACGGGCGGGGAGCTTGGGAGGAACTCGGGCCGACACCTTGGGGGAAACTCGGGTGGGGAGCTTGGGAGGAACTCGGGGCGGCACCATGTGTCACAACCAATGGGGGCGGCACTTTCCACGCCTTATATGCCGTTATGTCGGGCATGTTGGGCCTTTCCCGAACCCTCTTGCTCTTCTTTCTCTCGTATGGTGGTGGGGGATTGGGGACATCAACTTATACCGGAGGTGGCGGGGGTGCGGGCATGGGCGGATATCTACGATGATCCCGACCCTGAGCTCTGATACAGCCAAGCAGACTGTTTGCCATCCTCCTGATGAAGCTCACATCATTGCACAGCTCAACTCTTCCGTTGGTCATATCTTTGATACGCTCAATCCCATCAGCCTAAATCACAAAAATACAAGTTACAAAAAAAAATTTAGGCACCGAGTAATAAATTTAATTGTGTAGACGGAATATACTTACTAACGCACCATCGGCCGCACCCTCCGGAGTCATGTACCGAACCGATGTTTGCCGATATCGATCCAAGTATGGGTCATGATACCCCATTCGACCCACTTGAGTTGGAGTGACAATATCCTGCATTTGTCGGTTGTCCCACATCATGATGAATTTCGCCAACTTCATGGGCCAATCGTGAGTACCTTGCCGACCATCTCGGCGTTGAAAGGCCCTTTGACTATCGGGGACCTCCAACGGATTGCACTGCTCCCGACCAAACTGACGGAGGCATCGATCCGGAAAGTGCCACTCCACGGTCCCAAAACAAATTAGAGGGACCCTTGTGCACAATTGCCCGATATGACTGGAGAATTGCTGGAGATGCCATTGAACGATGTTCTCCGGGTATGGAATCCATCGGGTATGGACGATGAACATTGCGCCGCCGACCTCCCTCACAGATTTTAGAGACGCATTGCAGAAATTGTGGTAGATATTAGCTAGGCAAGCAGATGCCCAGCTAAACTCCCCCATCTCCTCCCAACTACCGAGGATGATCCTAAGCTAGGGCTGCTAAACGGTTTTGCGGTTGCCGGTTTAACCGATAACCGTACCAGTAACCGACTACCGAGCATGATCCTAAGCTAGACCAATAACGAAACGTCGTGCGTCGGCAAGGCAACCCTAAAAACTAAAAAAGCCCTACGATACGAACGATCTCTAATCGACTAATTGCATCTCCTGAGGCCTGAGTGACTTCTGCACCGTGCACGACCGCCGATCCCTCCTCCTCCGTTCATCGAATTCAACCACCACGCATCCACCAAGGTCCAAGGGGCATGACGGCAGCAGTGGCCCTCATCATCGTTGACGGTTTCCATCATCGTTGGCTCGTTGGTCGTTGCTCTATTTTCGTCGAAGCCAGTCGCCGTCGAACGCGAACCCCGTCGTCTCCTTGTCACTTGTCTCATCATCATTGGCTCGTTGGTCGTTGCTCTGTTTCCGTCGAAGCCAGTCATCGCCGAGCCGTCGAACCCCGTCGTCTCCGTCGCTAGCGCAAGCACCTCCACCCAAGGGAGCAGGACACATCAGACGGCAGGCATCGTCCCTTCTCCGGCTGTCCGTCCATTTTGGACTTTAGAGTTAGAGGTAACCTGTCACCTGTGTAGCTTTGACTTGTTAGATTTATTGTTTGATTATTTGGCGGTATGCCGGGATCGAATAGTGATTATTGTTTGATTATTTTTTTGTAGTTATTTTGGTTGATTTGTTGTTTGATACTTTGATTAGTGCGACTGTGCGAGCAGAGGAGCAGCAGTAGGCTCGTAGGTAGTAGCCGAGTTAGAATCTTAGAGGTTTAATTCAATTGTTTGAGTTGATTATTAAGTATTAACTAATAATTATTTTGCTGTTTGCTTTTCATTTTTGCAGGTTTAGAAACTTGAGAAACCAAGTAAAAAAATGTAAGAGTTAGTTTGCTGTTTTCTTTTCATTTTTGCTTTTCATTAAGTATTACTATTAACTATTTTATTAACTTGAGAAACCAAGTACAAAAATGTAAGAGTTAGTTTGCTGTTTGCTTTTCATTTTTACTTAATAATTAGTTTGTTGTTTGCTTTTCATTTTTTCTTTTCATTAAGTATTAACTAATTTATTAACTTGAGAAACCAAGTAAAAAATGTAAGAATTAATGTTTATGCCTTTTTTTACATGTTGGCAATTTTATGATTTTTAATTGTTTACATTTTTTCTTTTTGTTGTAGGACGAAATCTTCTCGTCCAAGTAAAGGAGATGCTCCGAAAAAAGTGGTTCCATTCCTCCTCGAACCACTTCAAAAAAAGTGGGTGCTCGTGTTGGAGCTGCAAAAGGGATTCAAGTGAATGTCTCATCTAGTACACCTACACCTACCAGTGCCATTACATCTCCACCTGCTACTGCACCTCCTGCAGTTGCCACGCCTACACAGGTGACTGATATGGGAAGGGAAGCAGATGAAGTGGGTGAGGCAAAGAAAATTAACAAGGTGACTAAAAGGAAGAAGAAGTCCCCATGGTGGACTCCTTATGATGAGGTTCTGGTGGATGACTACCCATATGGCAAATGCAAACAATGTGGAACGTTGATCAAAGCTCACTCTACCAATAACGGGACTTCTGGTTTGAAGCAACATCACTTGGCATGTGAGAGGAAGAGGAAGGAAGCCAGTGGTCAATCACTATTGAACTATCAACTTGGGGATGGTGAGGTAGGCTCTCTAACTCCATGGAAGTTTGATCAACAAAGACCTAGAACTGCATTAGCTGTTATGATCATCTTGGATGAGCTGCCATTTCGCTTTGTTGAGCATGAAGGGTTTAAGAGATTTATGGCGGTAACCCAACCATTGTTTGTGATACTTGGAAGACAGACAATAAGGCAGGATTGCTATATAATCTTTTTGGAGAAAAAAGAGTTGCTGTCTGAGTTCTTCAAATCCAAGTGCAAAGGAAGAATTTCTATCACCACAGATACATGGACTTCTGATAACAACCAGAATTTCATGTGTGTGACTGCTCATTTCATTGGGAGTGACTGGAAGCTGCAGAAGAGGATCATTAGCTTTGTATGAGAACAAAGATGAAAGAGTGGGGAACAAATTTGATTGGTGGGAAGTATTTGCAATTTCGATGTGTGGCACATATAATCAATTTGGTTGTGTCAGATGGGTTGAAGGAGGTTGGAGTTGCTGTTAAAGGGTTCGAGATTGTGTTAAATGGGTGAAGTCATCACCAGGTAGAAGTGCAAAGTTCAAATCTGCCATTGATTGTGTATTAATGGATGGAAGAAGACTTCTATCTTTGGATGTTCCAACTAGGTGGAACTCAACTTATTTGATGTTGGAATATGCAGAAAGGTTTGAGACTGTCTTTAACTTCTTGCATGGAAGCCCCAATGATTCTGCATTTCGAGATTATGTGGACTCAAAGAGAGGTCTTCCAACTAAGGAAGATTGGACAAGTATTCGACAGCTAATGAAGTATTTGAAGTTCTTTTGTGAGCTCACCTTTCGGGTATCAGGTATGTGAACAAACATAACTCTTTTGTGATTCAACTTGTAATTCAACTAATTTGTGAATAATTTGTTGTTATTTTTGGATGTATCGGGAACATCTTATGTGACTGCTCATACTTTCTTCAAAGCTATTGCTGACATCTATGAAGGGATAGAACTTTTTAAGATAGACATGGATGTAGAGATACAACGGATGGCAACAAGAATGGAGGCAAAGGTACGAAAATATTGGTTTGAGAATGATGATGATGATGATGACGAGGTGGAGAACCTAAGGATAAATAGACTGGTTTACATGGCTTGTGTGCTAGATCCTAGGCGTAAAATGGCTTATTTGTATTGGATGTGGGGTAAGATGTATGGGAAGAAGAAAAGAGACGATTTGGTGAAAGATGTGACTATAGAGATGACTGCAATATTTGAGGTTTACAAATTGAAGTATGCACCTCAACCTTCCGAGCCTACTGTTACCACTCCTAGTGCTGATGATGGTACTGGATCTGCATCTTATGGAGGGACATTTGATGATGAATTCTTCAAGATGAGAAAGGAGCAACTACAGAGGGGGATTCAAGGTTCTTCTGAGCTAGACATCTACTTAAGAGATGTTGATGATGCTATTAACGAGGATGATAATGATATGAAGTTTGACATCTTGATGTGGTGGAGTAAGAACAGCGTTAGATATCCTATTCTTTCCCAGATGGTCAAGGATATCCTAGCTGTTCCAGTCTCCTCTGTTGCCTCAGAGGCTGCTTTCAGTTGTGGAGGTCGAGTGCTCAGTCCGTTTAGGTCTTCGTTGAGCCCCACCATTGTAGAGGCCTTGATTTGTGCTGAAGATTGGATAAGGTATGAAGGAGGAAAGAAAGCAGACAAAGTTGATGATACTAAAGATGAAAATCAAGACCAAATCGATTATGAAAGTGGTAAGAATTCTTAATTTCATTTATTTTTAAGTTTTCCATTAGTCCGTTTCTGATTACATATTATTAGATGAAATGTAACAATTTGTATTTTCTTTTTAAACTTAGTCACTACTAACTTCCAAACTCGAATGGAGAGTGCTACTGCCAAGCCAAATGAAGGTGTCAAACAAAGTTTACCTGTTGTGGTGGAGGAGGAAGAGGAGGAAGATTCAGAAGAGGATGAGGAGGACCAGGATGAGGAGGACCAAGACGAGGAGGATAATGGTGATGATAACCTTCACACCACTTTGAAGCAGCAAGGTTTCGTTGATGTTGGTGGTACAGGTCCTAGTGGCAAGTGAGGAGCTAGTAATTCTTTTTTTTATCTTCATGTCTTCGAATTTAATTTAAAATTTAGAAGCAGCAGACCAGATTGCTCTATTTGCTCTATTTGGAATTCTATGTACTACGTACAACTATAATGCTATATTTGATCTTATTTTTTAGTATTTTTATTTTTCAATTTGATGTTTGGAATTTACTTTTTAGATTTATTATTTATTTAATTAATTAGCCGACTGCCGACCATTGTGATTTGTGGCTTTGTGCCCAAAATTTACAATACTATTGACATTTGATTTGAGTATTTGACAATTGAGTATTGACATTTGGGTAATTGGATATTTTTATTATTTTAAATTTAATTTACTATTGTCTATTGATATTGTGGAATTGGAATGTCTCGTTGCCGGTTGGTGAACTGAATGCTGATGAAATTGGAAATGGCAAGTGGCGTTTTTTTTTTTTTTTTGACAAGACAAATGGCAAGTGGCGTTGGTGAATGGTGATGAATGATGATATTGTAATTGGCATGTGGCGTTGGTCATGGAGACAGCCGACAGCCGAATGATGATATTGGAATTGGAATTGGCACAGCGACAGTCGACAGGGACAGGCGACAGGTACAGACGACAGGAGACAGCCGGACAGGGGGGGGGGGGGGGGGGCAGGGACAGGCAGACATTTCTTCCGTCGGTAATTTCGGGACTCCGATCCCTTACCGATACCGTGTCGAAAGGGTAAACGGTATACCGCGAGGAGATCGGTAACGGCTTCCGGCGGCTGTTTTGGTATTTCCGGTATTACCGAAACCGGTAAAACAGTAAACCGGTTACCGTACCGTTTAGCAACCCTATCCTAAGCCATCCACAGCTAAGGAGATTGCTTGATTTTTTGGAGAAGAACACTCCTCCGATCATGCCTATGAGATAGACACGAGCATATCTTTCCTTCTCATCCTTCGGACTTTCCTCAGTTAGGGGATGACTCTCGTAATGGTCTCTAAAACACTTCGTCAACCAAGCAATTGAGACTTGGTGTTTCCTCATTGGTGGCAAGCGATCAGTCGCATCAACGCTCCCCTTGACTGGTACTTTCACCCCCAAAACACTGTGGACGAAATAAACCAACCGGGCATACCGTCACGATCCTCGGGGGGATGATCACTCGCGCACACCGGTTTGCCGTCGATGGGCAGATGGGTTAGGGTGGCGACATCCCTTAGCATGATGGTGGCCTCTCCTTCTCTAAAGTTGAAACAATGGGTCTCCTTTCTCCATCTCTCTACTAATGCAGTGATGAGTTGGCGATCGACTTTGATGCCGTTAAAATGCCTAATCGGGTCCAACCGTGCCCTTTTGAGAAAGGGCAAGATAGCTGGGTGGAATGGGAGCACATTAGTCGTACCCCTGTAGCGGAGTATTGTTTGTGCCTCTTAGCGAAAATTTACACGTTAATTATTATATATTAGTAAGGGTTTTTTCTTATAACTAAATTAATTAAATTAAATTATTTAACTTCGAGCAGAATTTTATTATCATAAAAATACGTTTCATATAATTAACATAATAACATTCTAAATCAATAATAATTTAAAGAGATACATACATATTATCATAAAACAAACATCCTAAATTAATTAACATAATAACATTCTAAATGAATAATAATTTAAAGAGAAACATACATATTCAAATGTTTGAAATTAATAAAAGTTATTTT